GTGCTGGGCATGAATTAGGAAATCTTCTAGGTCTCCCCAGAAAGAAGTCTTTATGGTCCATTGCTGCAACACTGAGATTTCTCAACCCTAACCCTGGAGTCTCATCCTGCAAGTGGTTGAATAAGGATGCTAAGTGAATTCCCAACCAAGAATGCCAAAGTAGTCACAGAAATTAGAAAAGGTGAGGAACAGATTCTCCCCGGGAACCCTCCAGAGAGAACTCTGCCTTGCCAAATTTCAGACTTCTGGTCCCCAGAACTGCCAGAGAATAAATTTCGGTTGTTTTAAGGACCCAGTTTATGGTAATTTGTTATGGCAACTAGGAAATTAATACAGTTACATTGACACAAAAATGTAATAAACCAATACAAATATTAAGCAACCTCATTTATGACTATCTGAGAAACCATTATAAACAGCTTTGAGTAAAACAAAACACATCACAAGTGGGATTATTCCAGGAATGCTTGGATGGTTCAGTGTTAGAAAAACAAATATGTTAGGCTGAATCATGAAATTCTACATATGAAATTACCTTTTGTGTATGTCATACACTGTTGATATCAGCAACTTCGTATGGTTAAAGCTAATTTGATTTTTTCAAAGGTGAAAGCCAATACATATCCATGTTATATTTGCTGGTAATTACATATAGCTGATGTATTTAATCGCCAAGTAAGATCTTCATGATTGTATCATAGTTAGCGTTGCTAGATAAAGGGCACCTAATTAAATTTTAATTTCAGATAAATGATAAATAATTTCTTAGTATAAGGATGTCACATGTGATTATTGACACATACTCCACTTAAAATAATTTTAATTTACTAAATTTGCCAACACTAATCATAGCACTTAAGTGTGAGTGTCCATCATGTGGGAATTGTTTTTCAACTCACAGAACTTGAACCAGAACTGAGACTGGTCCAGGGAATTAATCCTAAAACAAATTCTATAAAAATGAAAAAAGAATCTGATAATGTTCCTGGAATTTTTATCCCTAAACATTAATATATTGCTTTCCAGTAGAACACTTTTGCCATATGCTTACCTATTTCTCATATTAAACACTGAAATGGTAATCCAGACTTGCAGTATTTTATTTTATTTTATTTTATTTTTAAAGATTGGCACCTAGGCTAACAACTGTTGCCAATCTTCCTTTTTTTTTTTTTTTTTTCCTACTTTATTTCCCAAACCCCCCGGTACATAGTTGTATATCTTTGCAGGTCCTTCTAGTTGTGGGACTTGCAGTATTTTAAAAAGACAAACTTGACATAGCTCTGAAATTTTGTTCAATGGGATTAACTCTGTTCAAATTATCAATCCCCACCCCCAACACCAAATATCCCAATGAGGCAAAATTTATGGAGTAAATAATGGTAAACAAATTCTCAAAGACTGAAACCTACTCTTTCAAACAGCCTTCAAGTAGTTCTAAAAGGAAGAACTCTTTCTCCAATTCTTTAGCTTGGCTTTTAGTCTGCTGTTCAATCTGAATGATTATTGTCAGAATCCAGCCCGAAAGAGCTACATGCATGAACGGTTGGCATTTTAATATAGAGCTAGAAACAAAACAAAACAAAAAACTCATGCACACAAGCAGTGTCTGGCTCTACAGCTGCCCTTGTCAAGTTCATAGTGTGCCTCATGTTTATGGAGTTATTCTGTATTTGTTTTTGTCTTGTTTTAAGACAGGAAAACTGTATGTTTTGTGTTTTATAAACTCTCAGCCAGACAGTTCATGTTATTGCTTTCTATGGTACGTCAATAACTTGGGTAAATTTTCTTTTCTTTCTTTTAAGTTTTTTCCTCCACTGTCTTCTCATCAAAACCAGGTATTAGATGAACAATTTTCACTGCTCCTGGTATACTATTTTTATCTATTTTTAGGTAAAAGAAAAAAATCTACTGGTAATTAAGGAAAGTGAAACCCACAGATAGACCTCTAGTTTCCCAGAAGCAAAAGATTACTAGGAAATTACTGGAAGAGCGATTTAAAATGTGTGAATGATGAATATTTGGAAAGCTTTGCCAGGATTACCATAATAGGAAAAATAATAATTATAATCCTAATCCAATCTCTATATACTATTTTAGTTGTAATACAAAACAAAGAATTAACATAATTTAAATTATATTCTCTCTCTAATAAATGGGTATAATTTCTTCCCAGTTTTTCTATACTTGCAATTCAGCACTGTCAGGTTCTCTTCATAAATGAGGTTGTTAAATTACTTCTATTTACATAGTTTATCTGTTTCTAAATTCCTGTCCCAACCTGAAATAATCCTTTCATTCCTTAGTGTCTCCAGATGGGTCCCTATTCATCCATCTGCCAGTCCTGGCAAACAAGTCCTTCAAAATGATTATCCCTGCCTTGGAGAAGTTAAAGATATGTCAGATGATCATAAACATGAATCCATGTGCCCACAGAAACAGCCTGCACCTTAGCAGTAGGTAGGTTAGTGTTAAGATAAATGACATCTAACTTGCCAAGGGATCTGCTAAAAAAATGGACAAAGAGATGCCTGTCATATTGGATGCACAGCTTGATAATAATATCTGATGGGGTAGAAGTGGCCAAAATTACCTCCACAAATTTCATTGAGAGTCAGAAAAATGTAAAAGCCTACAAAAATGAATAAACAGAGATGAATGTTTGGAAATCCTATGTTATGATGAGAAAGGAATGTTAAACATCTCTAGTAAAGTAAACAAATCCCATTTTTCAGTTTTAAGGTCTCAAAGACTCACGTTCAAAGAGAAGAAGCTTAGTCATTATAAAATCTACCACATGCAGCAGGTTGACTCTAAAAGATGATATGGTCCTTAAACAAATGGTAAACCTGCTAAGGGTGTTGCTGTTCAAGAGTGAAATGCCCGGATTCTGACAGTCCCTGCTCCTCTGCACCAAGGGGGACCATATCCATCCACCAAATTCCTGATAGACAGCAAGTCTGTCCCATTTCTAGTGTAAGTTAGTTAAATTTGAGTGAGATTTATAGAATTGGTCAAAGACAGATTCCCATTTACTAATCTTAAGGAGAGAAGAGTAAGGAAAGAAAAAGTGCAGTCAATTTGTGGGTCCAACTAGGAGTTGTGCAATTCCCCAAACAAGATGGATGTTAGTTACCTTGGCAAATCACTAATAGCTTAAATTCTCTCAGAAGCAAATGGCTCCCAATCAGTGGGTCATAAACTGCAGAATCAATTAACCCTTTTGTAACATATATAAATCTAAAATACGTAGTTTTTTGACATATATAAATGTATACATATTGTATATATGGTGCACTTTTGAGAATTTGAGTTTTTAAGATTTTTAGAATTTTTATTCTGTCTTAGAAAAACTTGTAAAATAGAGTGGCCCTGTCTCATCCATGTCCCTGAGAAGTATTATAGGTTCTAGATTTTTAATATCTGGTTTGGAAATTAAATGGTTGTTTTTCCTTCTATGCAATTTGCAATCTATGTGAAAGCCAATTTTCCGAGGCAATTCAGAAGAGATAAGGGAAGTAATCATCAGTAGAACTGATCATTCTGTTTATAAAATCCTATTGAGGGCACACTTTCAAATCTGCTTCTCCTGGGCCCTTAGGGTAAAGGAAAACATCTGAATTCCCCCAAAGGGAATGATCATTCTCCTGTTGTGACAACAAAGAAGACTGCAAAATTGAGGCAGGCTAGTGCAAAATCGGTGGCAGAAAATAAGGATGAAAAAAACATCTTTTCTGCTTCTTCTTATGGATATTAATTAGGGAGACCAGCATCAATGGATACTTCACCAGGCTTAAAATAAAAATGTCTGGTCTCTGAATCACCTGTACTAACATCACCATGGAGAGTTTTGACATTGTCAGTCCTAACTCTGAGCTCATTTTGGATCACAGAACCTATTATAGGCATCATTTTAACACTTTCCAAATATTCAGTTCTTATCTGAAAAGAGACTTCCTCTTGGAAATATTACCTAGCTGGTCACATGTACCCCTGTATCTGAATTTATGTCCTTATGTTTTCCATAAAACCTAGTATGACTTATAGCACTAAATATACAGTGCTGTAAATGTTTATTTACTACTTTATATGCTACAATAAACCATATATTCCTTGGGACAAAACATCAAACTGACTTCATTCATTATTGCATGCTAAGTCAAATTCATGACTCCTATCATATGTTATTAATAGAAAAAGAGTATATATTGACTGTATGATTTTTAAAAAATAGCTAAAAAACTAAAAGATTATGAGAAATTATTAATATAGACTAAAAGCTAAAAATTAAATGGTATGAACAAACAAAAAGAAAGCTATAATTTAAAAACCAAGTTGATCAAATCATAATATAATAAAGAAAAAGAACAAAAAGACAAATACATGAAATAGCATTACCAGCAAAACAGAAAATTAACACAATTAAAACAACAAAAATGAAATTCAAAAGTTTTTATAAAATCTTTTCCTAAAATTCCAAGAAAATATTGTTACATTGAAAACTTAAAAATTTATCAGATTTTAAAGTAAGATACCATGTTTAAAACGAGCAAGGTGAAAGTCAGATGATGAGATAAAGATCAATGATACAAGATAAATTCAGTGCAAAATGGTCTGTATTTTAAATTTAACAAATTAGCAGCAAATATTTTTAAGATTAGTAGTGTAAGTTCAAGAGGAGCTATAAAGAAGTTCTTAGAAGAGACTAAGAATGAGAATCTCTAAAAAGCAATATTTGTTTGCCTATGGAAAACATCCTTTTGTACCTAGTTACCATCATGTTTATGGCTGTGTGAAAACTCACAAATGGTTCTGACTCCAGTTCCATGATTTCTGCTGTAGATGTTGTCGACAAACTTCATAGTTTGTTTTTAAAAGAAAAGAGATTAACTTAAATCTATCCATGTTTGTTTGTTTCTTTCAAAAATGGGAAAAAAATGCTCCTATGAAAAGTGATGACAATCATAATATTGGAAATCTTATTTTATTTTTCCCAACAGCCGCTGAACTACGAGAAAAAGAAATCATATACCCTCAACATAGAAGGAGCAAATACACATCTTGATTTTCGCTTTTCTCACTTGGGTCCTTTTAAAGATGCTACCATGCTGAAGATCATTGTTGGAGATGTAGATGAACCACCACTATTTTCCATGCCTTCCTACGTAATGGAAGTCTATGAAAATGCCAAGATCGGGACTGTTGTTGGCACAGTTTTGGCACAAGATCCCGACAGTGCTAACAGCTTAGTAAGGTATGGTATTCTTCACCTTTTAGAAGTAAAAACATTTTTATTGACTTTCAAGTAATTTAAAATGAAGAAAATAATACTTAAATATTTTATTTCCATGTTATTTTACTACTAATATAATAAAATTATATCAACTGATTCTTTAACTGAGTAATGTAACAGATGAGCTTCTATCAAATTAACAATACATGTTGCTGAGGCCGGTCCAGTGGCATAGTAGTTAAGTTTGTGCACTCTGCTTCAGCAGCCTGGGGTTTGTGGGTTGGGATCCCAAGCGTGGACCTATACACTGCTCATCAAGCTGTGCTGTGGCAGCATCCCACATAAAAAGTGAAGGAAGGTTGGCACAGATGTTAGCTCAGGGACAATCTTCCTCACCAAAAAATTCATTAAAATACAGCATTCAATGGAGTGCACAAGCATTGTGGGCTTTCTTCTGGTTGAACAACTAAGACTATTGACTTCTACTTTCATCCCTTGGAGATCAGTTTCTTTTGTTTGTTTTTTAAAGATTGGAACCTGAGCTAACATCTCTTGCCAATCTTCTTTTTCTTGTTCTTCTTCTTCTCCCTGAAGCCCCTCAGTACATAGTTGTATATTCTAGTTGTAGATCCTTCTTGTTGAGCTATTTGGGATGCTGCCTCAGCATGGCCTGATGAGCAGTGCTAGGTCCATACTCTGGATCCGAACCAGTGAAACCCTGGGCCACTAAAATGGAGCATGCAGACTTAACCTCTTGGCCACTGGGCTGGCCCCCAGCGATCAATTTCTATAACTGGGTTTATGCATATTGTCTTGTATACTCTGCCTTTCCTGATTCTTCAAGCAACGTCCTGCTTTTGCCCTCAATATGACAGAGGGGTTACCGATTGACAAGGTGCTGTTTCTGCACTCACAGATGGAACAGGACGTTGAATGTATATATATTTGTGTACAGAAAATTGTTTCTCTCAGTGCATGGGTGCGGTGGGCATTTTTAAAAAATGGAAACAATCATGCTTATGTAAAAGGAAATTGAGAGCCTTTACAAACATTGCATAGATACTGAGGGGAATGTTTACCATTTTAGCCTTTGGGGAAATGGATGAGAAGTAAAGAGAGTAAGAATAAGAACATGATGAGAAAAAGGAGACAGACGTGTTAAGGATTTCCAACTTTTTAGGCCCTTAGGATTATCCAAGGGTATAAATTCAGGGTAACTAAAGAGTTTTATACATTTCTGCAGCTCTTTGATTTTGTCATAATTGAAACAAAAACAAAAAGGAACACCTTTCTGATTATGTAAGGAAAGCTTTAATCCTCTTTCCTGCATGACATACTAAAAGATGTGCCAATCTTCCTCTATTTTATATGTGGAATGCCGCCACAGTATGGCTTGATGAGCGGTATGTAGGTCTGAGATCAGGATCCGAACCCGTGAACCCCAGGCCGCCGAACTTGAGCGCATGAACTTAATCACTATGCAACTGGGCCAACACTTAAATGACATTTTTGATACTTAACAATAAGTAAAATTTGTCTAACTCTATTAAAAACTGTAGCATTAAAAGGATATTTAGAAATGTGGCCATTCTTTGTCAAAGGAGCCAACACCTCTTGAGAATAAAAACATTTCATGCTGTTAGTTTGATGTGAAAATGTTTGATAAACATTAGTAAGACTTTCTTTTGAAAATTAAAATTTGATACTAAGGATATATTCTGTGATTTTTAATTAAAAGAGGTGGAAGGTATGTTCATTTTTAGAAGTGATATTTAAAGTACATATCACATGTCAATATTACAATAGTTCTCATGATAAAGAAATTAAGCACGTGCATGCACACACACACACAGAGCAACTTGAAGTCCAGTGGAGAAATAAACTTGAAAATAATTGCATGCTTTGATAAGGGAGATAAAGGTATCATAAATATGTGCACAGAGCAAGTGTGCCCAACTTATTCTGGACAAGGTGAATTGAGGAAGATGAATTGAAGCTCAAAACCCAGGTTAGGGAATTAGACTGTTGAAGGACAAAGACGGGAACTGTAGTTGTTGTGTTTATGAGGAGCTTAGGTTCTTTGTGTGGGAATGAGGTTGTAGAGAGAAGCTAGAGAGAGATCATGAAAAGACTTTGCTGCTAAGCTGATGTGTTGAAATGTTGTCTGGCAGCAATGTCAATGGGGGTAGAAAAGGAAACAGATGTAGGAGTAACTTTAATCAAAACAATGACAGGAAGACGCATTTGAAAATTAATAATAATGAATTTTCAAAATGCTATGACGACTGGAATATATGTGCCAAAATGGTAGGCCAAGGGAGGAAATTTGAGGTCAAGGACAAACTTCTTTCAGTGTTGCTCTATGTATCGCAACACACACAAATTGACCCATTCCACATAGAACAGTGTTTCTCATTCAGTGGCAAAATCCCCTCCACCAGGGGACATTTGGCGATGTCGGAGGACATGTTCGGTTGTCACAACTGGAGGAGGAATGCTGGCTGCTATTCTCTGGGGGTAGAGACCAGGGTGATGCTGAACATCCTCCCACTAAGAAGAGTCCCCACAACAAAGAATTATCTGGTCCAAAATGAGAGTGAGAAACCCTGACACAGAGTAAACCAAATTGGCTGATAACTTGGTAAAAATAGTACTCATGGAAAGAAATTTTGAAAACATATTTTTGGGAAGTGAATACCAGTATGTATGTTTCACATACATGCATAGGCATGTGAATATTTCAAAATATATGTTTTATTTAATAAAAGAAATTATTGTATATAATTGATTATCCTATGATATTACTAATTGCCTCTGTAATTGTTCCATGTTATTGAGAGTATTTAATTGAACATGTTGCATACACTTTCTCAGTCGTTGGGATGCAGATAATTGGTACATTTTCTCCAAATGCTAACATTGAGGAACACGAATCTATTAGCATATGCATTATTCTTACTGCTTTGTTTTGGTTAGACAACTGAAATGAATCCTTCTAAGCTGCCTTAAGATAATTAGGCTCCATAGCGGCTCTTTGGGGGCATAATTTCCATAATATTTATTCTTGGTTTTATAAAAATGTGTCATTCACATGGGCCTCTAGGTGCAAACAGTGAATAAAAAACAGAAAACATTAACAAGCACAAAAGCAAGCCTTATACTTCCACCTTTCTCAGGGATCAAATGTTTGTACTAATTATGGAAATGCACACTGAAAAGATGTACCTTGCAATGTGCCCTGAAATGCAATTAACTCCAAGTTTGTAGAATTGATAATGAAAGGGAGTTTGAGTCTTCCAGGCATTTGTGAAAAGCTTCCTGACTTCAGTCTTTGTATTTCAATTTTCTAAACTATTAGTGAGACTCTTCAGATTTCTAAGAGTGTTCTATGTCTAGGTTTTGTCTCTTTCAACTCAAAAGAAGGATGTGCAATTTGCAGCAATATAATCATCACCATTTTCAAAAATAAAATCAGAACCAGGCTGTTTACCAGCAGCGAAGAAGCCCTTGATTTAGACAGGCTGCACTCTCTCGCTAGCGTTCTGCAAATGGAATTTGGAATTTCCTAATCAGCTATTGAGAGATGAGCAATCCTATGTGGAGCGTGAGAAGCTAGAGAACTTTCTGGTAATGTGACCATATATCATGTGACTATTAAAAATAGTGACTACTCATTGTTTGCCCTCTCTGGGTCAGGGTATTTATATTGTAGGCCAAAAACCCTTGTAAGAACCCTAAAAATTCTGTATTATTAGTCTCATTCTATGGGTGAAGAAACAGGCTCAGAAAGTAATTTGGCCAAGTTTACATGGTAATAAAGTGGCAGATTCAGAGTTTAAATCCAGTTTTGCTTTACTCCAAAACTCTGTTTCTTTAAAGCCGCAATATGCTGCCTGTCATATATTTCAACTAGTAATAGTAATTTTTGAAAACTGCATTTACGGACATCAAGTATCACAAAGTAGGAAACAGATGAAGGTTTTACACGTCCAGAGAGCCATGGATTAAATGCCAGGACCTGGGGTCTACTATTTGTGTAGATGCATTTCATACACTGGGGAAAAGGGATGCTGAAGAGAGTGAAGTCTCACGTTAACTCCAGCACCTCAGGAACAAAACTGTTCTTAATTTCAGAGCTTCTCCATATTGCAAAGTCAAAGACGTATAGCACTGCTTGATTTAGTACAAGAAAAAGAAAGTTATTGAAGTCCCCCCTTAGCATTTTTCATAGGATGAAGAGCTGTAGTATGAATTACATGAGTGAGTATATTTCCCCATCTTGACTTTTTTCACATTAACCTGTAAGCTGAATTTATCTATACATTTACTTATTGTTAAAATTTCTAATATTTTCCTTGAATAATAACTTTAAAGCAATCAGAAGGAAATATGCTGGATCTGTTTTAGAAAGAAAGCTCCATAGAATTTATCCTTACATTCTGAACAAATCAAGGCAAGGGTCTGCAACTTATTGTACACAGAAGAAAAGAATGTAGGAGATGTTTTCCAGTGGCCTGAAGAGGTTATTAACTGAAATATCTGAAAATTGGAAAATTTCTTCCTGGTAAGCCCCCCTATGCATTCTTCTTTCCTCTTCTAGCTTCAAGAGTCCAGGGCATGTATAAAGCTCTCTGAGAATTAAACACTCTTGCTCTTCCTTTTTCTAACTAGGCATTTCAGCCTTCAAAAATGCACTGTGAGTTGCACTTTTCCCACTAAGTATCATTAGTCATCTCTTCTACAAAGACAATAATTACATTTTCTCAATGACTTAATTGACGATAGGATTGAATTCTTATTCCTCACCTAAGAATGTTTTAAAGTAAGGTCATATTACTCAAGTGTAACACCGTGTATAGGAGCAGTGATATTGATTGGCACACCAATGTGTGGGTGAAGGAGAGAACTTCCGTTTGTATCCTATCTACAGCCTAAAACATAAAGCTTCTCTCTCTCTCTTTCTCTCTTACTAGACTAGTAGCCAACACCAGAGGGACAGTGGTCTGAAAAATGCCACCCCA